CCCAATATTTCAAAACATACTATGGTGACAGATAGGGAAGCTGCCATTGTGTCTGCAATCGAAGAAATACTTCCAAACTGTGCTTATTTTTTTTGTTGGAATCATATTCAAAGAGACGTTACCTTTTGGATTAGAAAGAGTGGAGGTTCCGAAGACGACGAAAAGGTTTTAACTAACCAAATATGGGATTTGTTAGATTCTAATTCTGAAAAAGAATTGATGGTCAAGTATGAAGATATGAAATTTCATTGGTCTCGTAATTTCTTAAAATATGTGGAAAAAAATCTTCTTTTATGTATCAAACGTAGTTCTAAATATCGATTAATTGATAATATGACGTACCAACCTGGTAGCGGAATAACTATCAATTCGGCCGAAAGTTTTAACGCTGTTTTGAAAAGACTTGTGGACAAAAAAGAAGTAAAATTACAAGTATTGGCACTTGTACTGTATCAATTGGATTTGTTTTACCAAAAAGAAATTWTAAGAGGTTTTYGTAACATTGGCAATTATTCACTAAAAATGTCAAATTTTAACATGAAACAAGATCCGCAGGAAGTTGTATATCCGACAAGTCATTTACCTTTAGATAAACTTCCCTATATTTTTTTGAATAAAGATTTTACCATGACTAAACCTTTATCAGATGAGGAAATGCCATTTACCAATTATGCATTGGCAAAAATGTTGATGTTGCAAGGGCGTGTAAAGCTTTTTGCAGAGGATCAAGTTTTTATCATTTCTGGTGAAAAGAAAAAAGAAATGGTAAAATTATATCCCGTAGAAAGTTGCACATGTCCTGCTCGTCAAAAATGTCATCACATTACAGCAGCAAAATTATCTATAGGCATAGACGACCAAAAACATAAAAATGTTCAATTATCAAAGTTAATAAATCGAAAACGAGGTTACCGTAGCGGAAGGAAAAAACCACAAAAAATTACAGTTGTTGAGTCAGCTGAAGATTCCAAAGTCGAAAAAAATGGAAATTTTAATGTTACGGTAATGATACCAACTGTTGTTGGGAAAAAACAAGTGGTTAAGAAAAGGTTTTTCGTCTCCTTTGCTACTTCTACGCCAAAAAAGAATGTAACTCAACAACCAACCTCTAGTTTTTCACAATATTCTTTGGATGGTCTTGAAAATTGTCAAACCACATCAAACCAAATCAAACAGGTTTCACCACCTGGTAATGAGGATTCTTATTCAAAAAATGATTCTGATCTAGAATCTGATATATACAATACATATTCGGAAAATTTTAAGAAAAACAAAGCATTTAATATTTTTGGGAGAACAATTTATCCAAACCATCTAAATTCATTAGTGCCGAAATCAGCGGAAAATGTGAGAGATTATTATCTTATTGATAGTATTTTGGAAGTCTATTTGCCAATACTATGTTTTGAATATAAACAACAGCTACAAACTGTTACAGTGTTTCCGGTAGACACTTACCTATGTAACGAACTGTGCACGTTCCAAGATGGAATGGCAATATTTTTGTCCTATGGAATTCCCGATTTTGACGTTGTTGCAATTCCTGTTATTTTATATGAACATTTTACCATTTTCCTCATTTTCCAAAARCAAAAAGTCATTTTGTATTTAGATAGTTTAAGAGGTCAAGTTCCAATTTCTTTATTACAAAAWTTTTTTAAGTTATATCATGGCTACAGTGTTATGAGAAACACRAATTTCAATGTGCAAGATTGGAAAGTGTTTGCACCAAAGGATACACCTCGTCAAACGAACAGCTACGATTGTGGCATTTACTGTTGTGCCTTTTTTAAAACTCTTGTACGAAAAGACTGCAAATTTTTGAATTTTATTTTAAATGATACTTACTCGTACCGAAAAAATACTATGCACTCGATAAAAAAACATATGGAATGTTTAGATGTGCATCCACCTAAGCGAAAAGCTTATAATAAAAAAAAGTTAGCAATGATCACTGAATCAGATATTTCGATTAAAGACATTGTATTTGACACCCCGCAGAATTATCAAAGCCTAGGAGCTTTTTTGGAAACTGCTATAGATTTATGTATGTAAACTTATTTTACTTTTTGTATTTATTTTAATTACAAATTTTAATAACAAAAATTTTATTTTTATTTATTTGTTTATTTATTTGTATTAGTAAACGGCGAACCAAAAAAACTTATGTAYGTTAGTTACTTCTAATAGCGAAACGCAGCGTGATCCAAAATTCACTCCCTACAGAAAATAAATGGATGTCGTCGATAAGAAGMATATAAGAAACATACAAAAAATTGTATTTTCATAGTATAGTATAGTAAGAAATATTAGATTGGTTAACTGTTGATTTAAAAAAAAACAACTTAGTTATTTAAGATTCTTGAAAATTCCCTTTTGTTTATTTGAAGACTCCTTTTTGGTTGTCAATTTTTTAAGGCGCAAATTCTGGAATACTAAAAATCGTTGAAAAACTAAAATTT